AGAAAAAGGGCCCGGCGTTGGGGCTGCGTCACATGACCGTGCCGCCGGTGACGGAGCTGCGTGCGAGAGTAGGAAGCGGAAGACCAACATGGCGAGCACGGTGCTGGTGGAAGACGAGGGAGGCTTCGGGGACGGGGAAAGGTTGGATTTCCTCAAGGAACGCCACGTGCGCTTCTTCCAACGCAGCCTTCAGATTTTGCCCGAACGCTATTCGTCACTGGAGACCAGCAGGTACCCTCGGGGAAGCGGCAGAGAAGTTCGGGGTGCTTCCCGTGGGGAAGTAAACGAGGAGTTGACACCCCAACAAGCAGCCCCTGTGCGCTAAGTGCTCGGGACAGCTGGGCGCTGGGCTGGTTTACTATCCGAAGCGGGAATAACCCGCCAGGATTTGTTCTCTTTTGGCCACTCGGGTGTCGAGACAGGGGGCCCGGAATGGCGCTCTGGGAGGCTTCCTTGGAGTCGATGTTTGTAGAATGGCATTAGTCTTAATTCCTATTTAAACTTGACCGGGCGCCAAAAATCCTGCACCCTAATCCTTGACGATTGTCTGCGGCGGCTTGAAATTGAAAGTAAATGTCTGCTGAGAGATACCCCAGTTTCTTCACACACTTCAAATGTTAGCTTTAATGTTGGGGTGTTCTGATCTAACAATGACAATCTCATTGGTACTAAAACAAAATTAGATCCAGTTTCTCCCGTGCCTTTTAGGTCAAATTTAGGAGAACAGATCAAGCATATATGATCTTGTTTTCAATTATTAGACTCAACACAGTTAAGATACTTTCGCTTTCATTTCATTAAACTGTTAATATTTTTGCAGCTTACCCTTGATCAGAATCCAGATGTTTTGTACCGTTTTCAAAACTTTTGAACTCCCCTCATTGAGATGGATGCAGGTTTGAGAGTAATGCTTACCTAGTTTAGTTGGTAGGGTACCTGCTTTGCATTCAGAAAGGCCTTACTTCCTGTAAGATTCTCAAAAGAATTTGACACTCGTGGCTGAAAGTGTGAATTAAAAAGAGAAAGTGTAAAAGGTAAATAAATCTATAGAATTTGAAATGGAAAATATAGAAAATGTTCTTTGTGGATTTATTCTGTTCTTGGAGAAATCTGTGTTGGGTAAACTGCTGGTTAGTACAAAGGTTGCAGAGAGTTTATTTTAAAAAAAACTTACAGTGTGACCCATTGAATTCAGTCAAACTTAGTTCTGAGTGGACACCTGTAAGATTGCCCTCAAGATGAATGGCAAATTAATATTTCTTGGCTTGGAGTTGAGATCAAGATACTTGGGTACTATGTGGACTTAATATTCAAGTACCTTAGAAAGAGAAGATGTGAGGCTTCTAAAAAAGCTACTAGACAATATGTCCTTTTTCATGAAATTTTCTTTATCAATGGGTTTCCTCCTTTTGAAACTAATTTTCTCAATTCACTATCTTGAAATAAAGTGAATTTATTTAAACTGAAGATAATATGTCTACATTTGGGGAGAAAGAGCTAAGGGACTTCACTAATTTAAATGTTTGTCCATTAGATGCAAGGGATTTAACTCTAGGTCTTTGTACTTTATCCTATTAAGCAAGGTGTTGCAGTTTCGGTAAACACATCAAAGGTAAAGGAGTTTTTATTTTCTGTGCTTCCCACATTGGACGGGAATCTTAATTCTGTCCTTGGGACTTGTACTGCATTGTTTACTATGAATGTTCTCTTTGCTTGATCTAAGGTACTTATTTTGAACTTATTCTATTAAAGGTGAGTATGCAAGGAATACAATTAGTGAAGTTAAATGATAAAATTTGAACACCTTGCAATTAAAAGTGGGCGTAGCAGGTATGAAGGAGCTTGGTGGTGTTTTGTTTATTGCATTGTGAAACCTTGGTGGATGTTAAGCTATATCTTTCTGTCAAAAACATTCATTGAGATATTCTAAGATTAAATGTTGCATGCTCCAAAGTGAATAAGAAACATGTTGTTGCAATGTGCATTTACTGCATCTCAGATTTTTCAGAAAAATTATGGTGTAAGAATTCAATAGCATTCTACAGTTCTTCGTAGAGCTAGTACTTAGTTATCATTTTGTAGCTAAAGTTGATGCTGTGTTTTCCCTGGAAAGGTACAATATTTAAATGAAATGTAGGTAGCTGCAGTTTATTTCTTGGTTTTTGAGGCCATGAAAATAGCTTATGATTAACTTCCTATAGTTTTCCTGCATAAATTTGAACATAGCTAGTAGGACTCCCCTAAATCTTGAAACTGAACACCCTAAACTTCCTAAGCCTGTTCTTTTAGGGTACACTCCCTTGTGATTGTGGCTGTCACAGCATCCCCATGTAATTTTTTTAGGATGCTTGGCTCCCAGCTCGCAATTACAACATTGCAGTGTCTTGTAGTCACATGATTTCCATTTGCAGCCTTCATTGCCAGATTCCAACAAGCAGTCAATGGAGAAGCCAGTGGGAGATTGCAAAAGGCAGTCATGTGACAATTAGTCTAAATGTTAAAATTTGAACACACATTGCAATTAAAAATGGGTGTAGCAGGTATGAATGTGCTTGGTGGTGTTTTGTTTACTGCAATGTATAACCTTGGTAGATGTTAAGATGTATCCTTCTGTCAAAAGCATTCACTGAGAGATTCTAAGATTAAATATAGCATGCTCCAAAGTGAATAAGAAGCATGTTGTTGCAATGTGCATTTACTTCATCTCAAATTTTGCAGAAAAAATAGGGTGTAAAAATTTAGTAGCATTCTACAATTCTTCCTAGAATTTGAAATGGCAGATGTAAGTGAGAACTACCAGTATTTGATTTAAGGAGTTTCTGACAGGTGCTATGTATACTCTTGTGTACACTCTGAAACAGCGCTTCCTTTGAATCTGAAGCTCTATTTCATCCCAAATTTGGACAACCAAATAAGCAATGAAATGCATGAGTTCATTTTGCAAATAATATAAATATGCATTTATTTCTTAAAATTATTTTCAGTTTTTATTTAAGCGAAATTCTAATTGGGTCAATAGTCTAAACATTTGCTCAAACAGAAGATTTTTGTGTAGACTGACTGATTTCCAGCACTATATAAAGCTCTTTTGGCTTCTATATCAATGTGGAAATTGTCTTTTGTTCCATTATGTAAATGCTAAAGTATTTATTGTGTGCCTTATGATTTAATACAATCAGTAACACAATCAATTTTGCTATTTACTTTTATGTCCTAAGTGCATATAACTTTCTTAAGTTTCAATATATAAAACCCTCACTTGGAGAAATACTGCTTAATAATTTATTCCATCACAAGCCATATATATATATATATATACACACACACATACACACACACACACACACACATTTTCTAGAACATGTTTTAGTCATTGCTCTTTGTGCTCATTCTCTGAAATGTTCACCCATTTTTCCTGAAGTATTTATTATATATATAAATTTAGTAGACCTTTGAATAGTTACTGATATTATTTAACATAGTCATGAGCTTTTCAATAAAAAGCTTGTAACTTTGGATTGTAACAATCAACTGCCCATTTATTTAACCAAACCCTTATCTGGGAATTAGAAGTCTCCAGAACTTCTCAATGTAAAGACCCATGTATCTCCCCCCCCCCTCCCAGTCCCTTGATCGCTAATAAAGTATATAACATGTTTTAGTGAAAAATCATTGGAAACAGTATCATGTTTCTGGTATTAACTCAGTTATACCATGGAAGTGTGTGATCTGCATAAGAGTAAGAAAAGAATAAGAACAAGCCTGCACAGATTGTAGAGAAGATAGGGCCACATTTATAAATAAAAATAATTGCTCTCCACAAAGGAATAGTTGGTGTACTGATCAGGTGTTAATCAGCTAGTGAGGTGGTAGTAGCAGTGCAGCTTACAGGAACAGCGACACTAGTAAGTGCTCAACAGTGTTTTGGGGGGCAAAGGGTGAATTAATATGGGTAAAACTTATTTAAAAATGACAGCAGGCTACACAAGGCTGCTTGATGGAGTATGTTATGCAGACTTGAGTAAGAGGATCAGCTAATTTTGATTTAATGTTAAGGGAAAGGGAAAACTCAGGGAAATGAATTTTGAAATGAAAATGAAAATATCAGAAATATAGGGAAAAATTGACCATGTAATGCTGGAGTTAGGGTGAGAAATGAGGGTAATGCATCTACTCATTAATTAAAGTACAATGAATATATTTGTAGATCAATAACTATTTGCTTATGGTACTGTATGTTTCATTTATTTTCTTGTTATAACACCCATGTTGTTTCAGTTAATTCTGCAGTTGTCCTTGCAAATAACTATCACCTGGGTTGAAATTTAATATTAATGGTAAATAGTAAATTTCTATTTTTGTTACCCACCCACCCCTTTTTTTTCCAGGTTGACAGTTGCTTTTTTTGCACTTTCTGGTTTGGATATGTTGGATTCCTTAGATGTTGTGAACAAAGAGGATATAATAGAATGGATTTATTCTCTGCAAGTCCTTCCCACAGAAGACAGTGAGTGAGTTTTTAGCTTTTATTTTATTAACATTTCATTACCTATGAATAGTGTCTTATCTTTTAAAAACAGAGACCATTCTCTTGTTCATCTGAATATTAATCAAT